ATGCAAAGCCCACCGCCCTCTCCAAAAAGTGTACTTAAGCTCTGCTTGACCTTTGCTCTGGGCTCTGGGCTGCTCTCCCTCTCCCTTCTTGAGTGAGCACAGAGTCCCAGCGCGCTGGAATGGATCCCCAATAAATCCCCTTTTGCCAATTGCATGGAGTCAGTCTCTTGGGTGGTCTCTCCCTCCGACCTTTCGCCGTACCTTTACAGTGCTGAGGATCGAACCCAGTGCCTCATGCATGCTAGGCGAGCACTTTACCACTGAGCCACAACCCCAGCCCCGCCCCAGTCTTTTTTTTTATATTTTGTTTAGAGACAGAGTCTCAGTTGCTTAGGGCCTTGCTAAATTGCTGAGGCTGGCTTTGAACTCATGATCCTCCTGCCCAAACGTCCCCAGCTTCTGGGATTACAGACATGCACCACCATGCCTGGCTACACATCTGGTCTTAATTACCTAGTCACAAGATGTTTTTCAGTTCTTCAAATCTCAAGGAAAAAAAGTTTATTTTTGTCCTCAGCTTTTCTTATTATTGATTAGTTTGTCTATATGCACTTCCTGGTGTTATATACAATGGATAGGCTAGAGGGGTAACTGCCCAGAGACTCTGTTGTTCTATCACCACACTAACAGTAATGAAAGAAAACATACTTGACCCCATTATTGTGAAAGACAGGTTTGGGTGAAGTTATATATGGAGCTGAGCAATCTGATCTTAATGTATGGCTTCCGTGGGGGAAGAGGAGCCATGGAAATGGAGCAAACATTATCCAGGCAATACTCTCTTTTTTGAGTATGGGATTCATGGACAAGTCAAAGTTTCACATACCCAAGACTTGTATCCTGGATGAGGGGAAGGATGTGGTATTAGGAGGCCACTCATTCATTCAATAAAAACTTGTTAATATCTGGTAATGTGCCTGGCACCGAGGAGGTTCGGCTGTTTACAAGGCAAAGCCTGTGTCCTCATGGAGCTTTAATTACCGCGGTCATTACTGATCAGGGCATGGAAGTCTGCAGAATATCAATTGGGAAGAGGGAGACGAAGCAGAGCAAGCAAAAGAGAAGTGAGGATAGAACAGCAAGGAGCCAGGCGTGGAGTCACGAGGAGGGGGTCCTGGGGGGGGCAGGTAGCCAGGCTTTGTGAAAGTTGAGGGCAGGCTCTTCCTGCCAGCCCTGTGCCCCCACTTCCTTCCAGCCAAAGCTCCCTGAACTTCCCAGTCACACCAATCTCCCGCCAATGTTGCAAAAAGAAATTCCGTGGGTAATCTCGCTTGGATTCTCCCCTTCCAGCTTCCGCTGCAACTTCCTGTTCTCAGTCTCTCAGAGCTTTAGCTGAGGCCAAAATTATCCTCTTCCTGTCTCCCACGTTCACCTCTGGACGGAAGCTGTATTAGATAGGGAAGGTCCCGGAAGTGGAGCCTACTCGAACTTTGAAAGAGCCCACAAAAAGTCCTCAGGGGGCGGGGAAAGGAGATCATTTTGAGGGGTTTTGTTTGTTTGTTTTTGCTTTTACTGCCTTCTTACGTACATTACTTACAATTCGTGAAGATGAAACAGACGCTGAGGAAGGTACAAAGTTTCAGGGGCACCCTGGGAGGGGCGGCGCGCGAGGCACACTGGGAGGTGCGGCACACGGGGCAACCTGTGAGTCTCGGCGCGCGGGGCACCCTGGGAGGCGCGGTGTGTCCGGAGACCCGCCCTCGCCAACATGGCGGCGCCCAGTTGGGGCACGTCAGATTGCTTTAAGTTTTGGCTGGGGTTGGGGTCTGGGCTTTAGGCAGCAAGTGGGACCAGCGCTCGGGTCCGAGAGGGACGTGGGAAACTAGGGACGGTGGTGTGGCGCTGCCTGACTAAGGCGAGCGAAGAGCGGCCCGGGCCTGTCCGGGGTCGAGGCGCGCTCCTGAATCGGGTCGGTGATTGCGGGCCGCGGGGACTTGCGCCCGGTTGTGGGCCTGCGTCCCGTGCAGGGCTGGAGGGCAGGAACGCCCGAACCTCGGTCGTGGATTGAGGGAGTCGGGAATCCAGACTTTGACCTCCGAGGCCAGACCCTCGAGTTCCACTTCTTGTATTTTTCTTCTGAGGAATGAGTTGAAAAGGATAATTGTCCTCCGGGTTTCCCGTCTCTTGGAAACGGCTAGGTGCTTTGTATTTCTCTTCTCCAAGGACCCTCCGCCACACTCGATGTAGAGTTAGGCGCAAGTCACTTGGGTCCCCGGGGCTGACAGTGCTGTCGCCGATGTGCACGGGAGACCTTCAGACTGCATCGTTTCAATGGCAGTCTTCCTTACCCCGAGACCTCCTCCCTGCTCTCTAGTTTGAGGACAGTATACTAAACTGCTATAAAGACGATTAATTTGATGCATTTTATCATTAAGATATACTCGGGTACAAAGTCCTGAGGCGAGCGAGAAGCAGAGATTTTAGTAAATGAATGATGGTCCCAAGGCCTCTGCCAGTTCTCAGAACCTAGGCGTTGCCACCGCTGAAGGTGGATTAGGTTTGGTGATGGGTTTTCTTTCTTTCAATGATGATGCAAATATGCCTTTTTAAAAACAGCCTTCATTTTTTGTGGGCCAAACTCTGCATGTTAAGTGCTCTGTTTTTATTATGTCATTTGTTTAAATGACCCCTACAGGACATATGGTATCCCATTTTAACTATGAGAAAACAGGCTAAATAACTTGCCAAGGGTCACACAAGTTAGTTAGGATACTGACAGGGATGAAAAAAAAATTCAGATTTTGCTGTTTCCAAAACACAAATTACATATTTTCAAAAGAACCTTAACAAAATGGACAACTGTAAGTGTAAGGTAGGGAGATTTGGGGAAAGCTTTTTTTTTTTTTTTTTTTTTAAGCATTTATATAACATATCATTTCTTTCTAAAGGATAGTATTTAGTTTCACAATGTTTGGGGACCTATTTGAAGAGGATTATTCCAGTGTGTCAAATAATCAGTATGGAAAAGGGAAGAAATTAAAGAATAAAGCTTTGGAGCCACCTGCTCCCAGAGAATTCACCAATTTAAGTGGAATCAGAAATCAGGGTGGAACCTGTTACCTCAATTCCCTTCTTCAGACTCTTCATTTCACACCTGAATTCAGAGGTATGCTGTATTACATACATTTGAATAGTAATATGTATCATCCTCTTTACATGTAATTAATTATACAAAATCACAAATAGACAAAGGATCTTAAAGATGTGTTCCATGCTATGTGTTTGTTATTGCAAATATAAGGCAAATCGGTGGTTCTCTCTACAGAGAAATGTGAGGCTTAAATTATTGTTAAATGTATTCTGTGTGATTATAGTGTTCCCACAGTTTAAAATGCAAAATAAAGACAATTCTGTCACTAATAGTAGAATTTATCATTGTTATTTCTATTTTTGAGTTGAAAACTTTCTCCAAAGTAACAAACACTTAATCCAATTTTACCTAAACAATTATATTCTAACTTTAGAGTGGTAGGATTGTCACGTTATTTATACACATTCACAGTTGTTTGTCTTCTTTTCTGAATTCTGGAAAGCTCTGACCCTGATCTGATCTGACTTGAATTTGTTTAATCTCAGAACCATAACCAGTGTGAAGCTATTCAGAGTCTTTAGTTATCTCATTTGGGTGAATATAACACTTCCTTCATATTCTTAAAGTTTAGAAATTCTGAATTCCGAAAATCCAAAGTCTTACTGTATGGGATTAGCCATGTTAAAAGGTAATTTATTGTGAAGATAAACAAACTCTCCCAGAAATCAACTCTGAATTCACTGGACCCTCGGTTTCTTGCCTGTGTCTCTACATGTTTGCAGCTTTCTCCACAAGACTCTTACATCTGTGTTTCTTTGATTCCAGTATGAGCATTATTTTGCCTTCACAAGGCCCTAATTGGGACACTCCCAACTGTCACACGACTTTGTAGCTCAGATCTCCACAGGGTCTCCAGATTCTGAGGATAGAGAATCGGAATCATCCTATATCTGAGTATATGATCCTCTTCCTACCACTACAAAATTTATCAAATCTTCATGATGTCTTCTGCTTCTAAACTTAGAAAGACTTTCTCCTCCAGAAATTTAGTATATATTTACCTTTGACCCCTTCCCAGGACTGTTTTAATGGATTGAACGGCATTATAGGATTTAAAAGTGGTACCTCTTGTCCTTGACCCCATTTCTGTAAAAATATCTCCTTGCTGAAGTCAGTGAATCCTCTTAGAAATTATCAGTATTAATAACCAGATTCCTACCGGACGCGTTGGCACACACCTATAATCTCAGCAGCTTAGGCTGAGGCAAGAGGATAGGGAGTTCAAAGCCAGCCTCAGCAAAAGTGAGGTGTTAAGCAACTCAGTGAGATCCTGTCTCTAAATAAAATACAAAACAGGCCTGGGATGTGGCTCAGTGGTCAAGTGCCCCTGAGTTCAATTCCCAGTAGCAAAAAACAAAAACAACAGATTCCTAAAAGGGATAAAACTTTTTCATGTTTTTATGTGGTTGAACTTAAAGGTTAACTTGAAGTAGAAAAGTAACATGAAGGAGAGACTGAGGAGGAAAGTGAAGGGATGGAACAGGTCATGGAGAGTACCAGGAGGTAGGAGTAGGGCAGAAAGCCCCAGGTCAGCTTCTACTTGGCTGGCCAAGCACATGCTTTGATATCATAGTGTAAAGTGTACTCTTATATGGCTTAGTATGGTTCTGATACAGATGAAGGGGAATGCGATTTAGAAACAGTAAGAACTACAGAGCACTGAGGAGAAAACAAAACTTTTGGAAGAGTAATTTAAGGAGTAAGGCTAGGTTAGGTTCCTTTGTCCTCCTGGTACACTCTCCCACAATAGATAGAGTAGTGAAAGATGATTATAAAAGTCCTTGTATAGTTTYGTGCTTTAGCCTGTAGATTTGTTGTTAATTTTTTCCTTGTCCCATCACTAGTAAGGAATTTAACTTTCATCACAGTAATTGCTAGAGCAGCAGGGATTTTTAGTAGAGACATACTCTCCCCTCTCTAATCTCCCTGGAATGTTGCCAAGTTTCTCTGAAGGAATTTCTGCCAGTTTGTATACAGACTTTTAAAAAATTCAGATATCTCCCCATTGGTTCATAAACTTACATGTTGGATTATAAAAAATTCTGGAGCCTGGCCTGGGGCTGCCAGCTTCGTTTTCCAGATAGGATCACTACTACCATCTGTTATTACCCTCAACATGGAAAAGATGTTTTTATACCAATAAAAGGAAGGGAGCAATCTCCAGGTAAAAGATGGTCCTGCCAGTGAAAGGCCCATTGGGAGACTCCTGTGTTGTGAAAATACAGACTTGCAACATTTGTACTTTCTCAAGGTTCCTCCTGGCTGCTCTCAGTCCTACTGCCATAGGCAATGGGAAACAAAGAGTCAGTGTGATTGGTAATGGTTCTATGTGCAGAAATGAGTGATTTTTTTTAATGGATCTTCCATACTGAAGCCTTAGTGTACCACTTTATTTTCTTAAAGTCAGTGATTTTAAAACATTACAAGAAAACAAAATGTATAGATTAAGGGTGTAAATATCATAACAATCATTTCTGAATCTTTATTTTATGGTAGTCTTGGCTTTCTAAACATTTTTCTAAAATGAAATTTGATTCWACTTTTTTTTTTAGAAGCTTTATTTTCTCTTGGCCCAGAAGAACTTGGTTTTTTAGAGGATAAGGATAAACCAGATGCAAAGGTAATAAATTTGATTTACTGGGGCATTTTGGAGTATTGAGGAAATGTTTCTTAATTATATTTATTGCCAAGTATGTCTTTATTTTTATAAGGTAGCCTGTACTTAATTAGCAATGACATTTTCCTTCCAAAAAAGAACTACTTTTCCAAATATAATGCTGCTATTGCTTTATAAACATACTTCACAGTGCTATATTTATGCTGTTTATTCTTACTTCTGATATTTACAAATTACKCACACTAGCTCATCCAAACATCTATTTAAAATATTTACTTGCAACAGCGAAAACAACATAAGACCAGTATTATTTCAATTTGGTACTCTGAAAATACATTAAATAAGGAATTTGCTTATTGTTTTATATATTCTGTAGTAAAATCATATTTAGTGCAGATCTAATGATGTTCTTCCTGCTTAAACTTCATTCAAACAGAAGTCTCTCATCACTTTCAGGCTCAGATTTATACTTCTTAACAGTAGTATTTCATGATGCAGCCCAGTACTTCTCCAACCATGTGGCAAAGGACCATTTTTTGTGTTTTTTTCCCCCAGTTTGTTGCAAATCAATATTTTCCTAGTATATTTTTTAAATGTCATGGAAATGTAAAATTGCTGTACAACTTTCTAAATGCATATTCTCCCTTTTAGCCCTTAAAGTCTGACCTGCACACTGGTCCCTGAGAATCATTCCTTGCTCAGTCTGCTGGGCCCTCCTTATCTTGAATAAGACAGGAATAGACATGGAGCCAGCAGAGAAGGAGGCAGGGTGTGATTTGTCCCATGAGTGAGAGATGTGTGCCTAGAAAGTTCCTACATTCATCTTTTGGAATATATCTGTTCCAAAAATATCTTACAGAAAAAATGAACTATTAGAAATTCTAAGTGCTGTCAATCTATGATCATTTGGGTGGTTATTAGGGCCTATGTAAATATAAATATTTACCTGAACTGTGCCAAGGTAGAGAATTCCAGATAACATAACTTTTAGGTCTGAATTAGAATTTTCAAATAACTGAATTCTAATTAGTTCTCTCTTTAAGATGAATAATTTATGAACTTTGTCTTAAATGAACTAGGAAATAAGAGAAAACTAGYATGTATTTCTTTGAAGAACCCTCACTTGGCCCTTGAAAGAGTTCATTTTGAAATGCATTCATTTCTCACCCCAGGTTCGAATCATACCTTTGCAGTTGCAGCGCTTGTTTGCTCAGCTTTTGCTGTTAGACCAGGAAGCTGCATCCACAGTGGAGCTCACCAACAGCTTCGGGTGGACTAGCGATGAGGTATGAAGGGCACTGAGTAAGTTGCCAGCAGTAGAGAAAAAAAGTGAATGCTGATATGTCATGTTATCTGACTTCCTTTAATTTTGTCTTAGAGTCTCAACATGTTTGAATGTTTCCTTCTCACAGTAAGTAATTATAATCACAAGTGTATTTTTGGATACTCACAGTGTAGGTGACACCACATTGTCATCAGAGAGGTAGGACATGGACTTTGAAGGGAAGTGGCATGATAGTCCCTAAATAAGTGTGTTAAATTTGAGGTATGGGGCTGCCACCTCAAATTAATTTCCTTTTCCTTCCCTTTAAAAAAATTAACCATTTAATTGAGTTATACATGCCATAAAATTCACTCTTTCAAAGGGTACAATTCATTGTTTTTTAGTATTTTTATAGAGTTGTGCAACCATCACTACCATCAGTTTTTAAAAACCTTTTCACCAGCCAAAAAAGAGACCCCATATCCATTTGCAGTCACTCCCCCATCATCCTCTTCCCCTAGCCCCTGGCAGCCACTAGTCTGTTTTTTGGTCTTGTGGTATTTGCCTGTTCAGGACATTTCATGGGAATGGAATTGTGCAATATGGGACCTTTTGTAACTGGCTTGTTTCACTGAAGATAATGTTCTCCAATGTATTCATCTAGAGTTTGTGTTCATTCCTTCTTACTGTCAAATGATATTATGTCTGTGGATACTACACATGGTGTTTCATGATGTAGTCCTTTGTTCATGGCCTTTCCTATTTATTTGTTTGGTTTTTGGTACTGGGGATTGAACTCAGAGGTACTCAACCACTGAGCCACATCCCCAGCCCTATTTTATATTTTATTTAGAGACAGGTTCTCAATGAGTTGCTTAGCACCTCGCTTTTGTGAGGCTGGCTTTGAACTTGTGATTCTCCTGCTTCAGCCTCCCAATCCCCTGGGATTACAGCCGTGCGCCACCAGCCCGGCTTCCCTTTGTTTTTGATAGTGAGCATCTACTAAGTTACTGGTTTTATAATTCTTAAAACTATGAGGACCTTTTCTATTTTATTTTTTCTAAGTAAAATTTTAAAGAATGAAGTTTAACTGCTACAAGTTTTCTGTTCCCTATCAAAGTCAACAATAATATCCACATACCAAGATCAGAAGTCACTTCTCTGTCCCCAGCTCCTCTCAGTTCCCAGGACCCACCCTCCTGTTTCTTCCTTGGCAGATCTTTCTCCTCATCTCTGCCTCTTTAAATGGCAGTACACACCCTTGGCTTGGTTCATAAATTGTTCTTAAGGAATGCTAACACTTAGCTCAGATTTAAGCACATTCCATGTGGAATTTTTCTGAGTATTATGTTAGTTTTATTTTTTGTTGTTTTATACTTCAAAGCAATAAATTCTATACCTTCTCTAATGTTGACAGTTACTCATATTCACCAGCCACTGTGACTTAAGTGAGCTCCACCTATGCACACGCTGCCAGCTCTGAAACAGTGGTCAAAACTTGTTGTGCTCTTGTCTTCTCTCCCTGTGGCACAGCCATGTGTGCAGTTCCCCATGTGATGTGGGCACTTTCCTTTTTAGTGGAGTTATAAGTTCACAACCTACAYGACCTACACATTTATTTCTGTAGTAGAAGTAAAAGCAGGTAGTGATCTCTTAACCTGCTCTTGGCTTGTTTTGCTTAGTCATCCTTATATCTGATCAATGCTTATCTTTGAATTGCTTTATAGATCTTAGGTTTTTGTAAACTAGTACTGTATTCTTAAAATCTGTTTTTAAAAACTTGAAGAACAAAATTACTTTTTAAAAATTACCTGTTTGGGGGCTGGGGATGTGGCTCAAGTGGTAGCGCGCTCGCCTGGCATGCGTGTGGCCCGGGTTCGATCCTCAGCACCACATACAAACAAAGATGTTGTGTCCGCCGAAAACTAAAAAAATAAATAAATATTAAAAAAAAAATTCTCTCTCTCTCTCTCTCTCTCTCTCTTAAAAAAAAAATTACCTGTTTTGTAGGAAATGAGACAACATGATGTGCAGGAACTGAATCGAATTCTCTTCAGTGCTTTGGAAACTTCTTTGGTTGGGACCTCTGGCCATGACCTCATCAATCGTCTGTATCATGGAACCATTGTTAACCAGGTTGTTTGCAACGAATGTAAGAACATCAGTGAGAAGCAGGTGAATTCACAAGAGTGTTAGTAATAAATTATATTCTAAATTACAGTTCATGTAATTAAGTCTGATAAAAATGTTTATTATTAGAAATAATTTATCAGTTTTTTCTGTTTACTCTGACTACCCCTGAATCATCAGTTAATAATACAGTTCCCCATGTGAACTGAAAGAAGCAAATATCTTAAAACAATATTTTACTCAGTACTCTACTGTTTAAAAAAGAGTTTTGGGGGGAAGTTTGAAAATACAAAAATTGGTCTCTTCGGAGAATCCAGTATCATCATGGTTGGACTATTGTAAATAAAATTAATTAGGTAAAAAAAAATACTGAGAATATTTAAATTGACAAGTATCTGTAATTAAATATTAGAGTTAGTTTATTAATATCCTTCAGAAAGTTTATCTCATATATGTGCTTATGTTTATGTATTAAATGTAAATTTCATTACATATAAAGCTTTTATAATTCTCTTTACTAATGTAACCTTCAGTTCTTTTAATAATACTGATTGTTCATTTAATATGATTGGAAACTAGATATTAGAAGTTTGCTCATGTAAATATAATAATCTCTGTGCTTTACAAGTCTTATACAGCTAATTATTTCATCACTGAACTCTAATAAAAATCTTCTTTTGTTATGGCAAGAGTAAAGAAAGTTTCTGTATTTGTATGAGAGAGAAATGCTATTTTCTAAATGTGTTTGTTGCACTTTTGGAAATATAAATATGTTACTTGTGTTTTTGTATGTGTAGGTATATTGTACACATATACCTGCACATTATATATATATATATATATATATATTTCTTTTTTTTTTTTTGTAAGAAGTAGTTGGGGAACAATAAAAACAGTGCTACTTGGCCCTTATTGCCTGTGCTAATAGAAGCTCTTTTGGTCAGCCTGGTTTGAAAATAATTAATAGATCATATTTCTTTGAATTACTATATGATTGACTTAGTGCTAATGTAATAATTCACACAAAGTACTTGTGAAATACAATGTATAGAAAACACATTATAAATTGTGGACTTTAATTTTTCACACATATATTGTAAACCTAAAGTGTTAGTTTTAATACTCGAGAGTTTTACCATGAACTAAATAGTGCTTTCTCCTTTATCAGACCTCATAGTCCCTTAAATAATGCTGTTGCATACACACAGAGAACCATAAATGATTTATACTTGCCAAATTATAATAGCACTTATTACTAAAAACATATTATAATTCAAATATTCTTATATTAGAATAGATAGACTTCCTATTTGCAAAATTCCACCCTCCTTATTTTCATAGAAACACTTGTTTATCATGGCTGTACATAATTATTTTCTTATAACTTCTTCAGTGTATCTTAAACCAAGCTTAGCAAAAGAAATTGAAGAAATAGAATTTATGTGAGATAAAATTCAACCCTGCCTTTGCTGTTATTAATTCTAGTCTAAAGACTGAAACAGTGCTAATGAACTTTGCGCGGGTGTTTTGTATTTAAGTCAACTATATGTTTTATTGCATCTAAACTTACAAATATCTTCCTTTATCAATGTTTTCTTGATACATTTTATACTAAATGATAGCTTGATTTAGAAAGGAAAATTTTGTGTTATGAATGTCATAGTAATGAAGACAACTTCCTATGTACACTGTTTTAGGAAAAATACATCTGATTATTCCCAGTGTATGTTTGAGTTGGCAATATGTTTGTAAATATCTGTGAAATTGTTTTTTCAATATTGCATTCTTGTATACTTCAGGAAGACTTCTTAGATCTAACAGTAGCAGTCAAAAACGTATCTGGTTTGGAAGATGCACTCTGGAACATGTATGTAGAAGAGGAAGTTTTTGACTATGACAACTTGTACCATTGTGGAACTTGTGACCGGCTGGTTAAAGCAGCAAAGGTAATAATGCCTTCCTTTTTCCAGGGTGCCCACAGAGAACTTGGTGGCAGCCAAGTCACCGGAAGCCACCTGTGTGATAAAGACTGAAGGATACACTTGAAGCTCTTGGCTCAAGAATAGAAAAGACATTTTATTTACTATCTTGTCTTTTCATTTTTTTACAGTGAAGAATTTTTTAAATCTTTCATCCTAACAGCTGTCTGAACTTCTTTTTCTCCCAAGAAAAATGTTTTTATGCCTCAATTTTTCTTAAGCTGCTTTTTTTGGATAAATTCCTTGCTTTTAGCAAATCACTATTATGAAGGAGATAGTAGTATTTCTGTTTTTATTCCCACCATCAAGAAGCTTGCCGAGCATTCCTTTCTGTTTCCTGCTACTAAAATAGGTGGCTCTCTTTAATTTCTCAATATGCAATTATTTTCTAACCCTGACATACGTCCTCCTTCACTTGAGCACATTCCACATGCACTTTCCCACTTGTGGGTCTTGACCTTGTTAGTCATGGTCTTCAGCACAGTACTTCTGGATTTCTTTCAGGATAGCAAAGCAAAATAGAAGATGGAGAGACAAGATGAAAGCAACTGATTTATAGTGTGAGCTAAGAGAGAAAAGTAAAATAAGTCAGTTAGCATAGACTTCTGATATTTCTCAAATTTGTCATGTTCCTACTTAGAGTCATTTGTRGATATAATTCATATTTATCCTAGCTTCCAGGAAGGAAGAGCTGCTTTGACAAGTGAAATGAGAGTCAACTCCCATTTAGCTTAATGGAACACCTCCCCAGTGTTATTTTCATACATCATAAATTTTGCCCATTTCAGCTCCTTTATGTTGTGGCTGTGATTTATTATATCAGCACTTTGGCATTGCTGAAAATCGACCACATGTTGACATTTTGTCCCAGTTTTGATGTAAGTTCTCTGTGCTTCACTAGCTGAGTCCTTCGAGTCCAGGGTGTCTTTCACAGGACAGATTTTAGAAAAACATTTTTTGTTTTTTTTAACATTTGAGTTGTTTTTTTATTTCTCCATTTTATCTTCTAGCAACCATATGTATTTCCTTTTCACCATTCTTTCACAATTGTATGTGATTTCTCAATATGGAACTTTTGTTTTGTTTTTTTCAGTAGTGAGGATTGAACTGAGGGACATACCTGAGCTATACCCCCAACCCCTTCTTATTTTGAGATAGGGCCTTACTAAGTTGCCCAGGCTGACCTTGAACTTCTGATCCTCCAGTCTCAGTCTCCCAAATAACTGGGATTACAGGTGTGCACCACCATGCCCAGTAGAATTTTTTTTTTAAAACATATTTTTATACAATTTCCACCAAAAACATTATCAATGCTAATAAATTGCTAGGTATTAGTAATTCACTAATATTAATATAAAAGGTGCTTATTACAGATTATTTCTAAATGTCTGATATGTCTGTGTGAGTATAAATTCTTAATGCYATTTCCCATTCCTCTGGCTTGAATGTGCCATCTCTGCACTTCTCTGGCTCTCTTCTCAGCTCCTTGTTCCTATGAGCAATGAAGCATCAACCCTGCTGCTGTAATTTTTACCTAGGTAGTTAACTGTCCCACTGTTACTAGATGATGTGATAGACTCTTCATAAACATTGTAAACTTATAGCTCAGTGCGGTCAATAGATATTGAGCATTATCGTAAACAGCTACCACAAAAAACATACCTGTATAGTGGATCCATGATGCCAAAGACACATAGCACTATTCCTATGGCTGACAGTTAACTGAACTTTTCCAACAAATAAAATGAACATTAATTTAAAATGATAATATACAATACTGATTTTGTATCCTGGAGATGATAGAAGTAAATGTAATAAAAAAGTAAACCCTGTGGCTATAGCTTTCACAACAGTCTTTGAAACCAGGAAGAAGTTTACACTGTTTAATATATGTTTTCATATATTCTACTCATTAGTAAACCTAGAGAGAGAATTACCATTTGTTTACTCATTTTGTACTTCACCTGTGGTGTTAGAACTACTATCTGATAAGTATAAATCTCAGCGTTTGGAAAAGTCTTAGATACTTACTTACACATTTTTTTGTTGAACTTAATTTGCATTTTAATAAAACAGGAACCCTTTGCTAACCCTAACCTTCTGCTAAACAAATACAGTTTTTTTATATACCTAATATTGTTGGTTTAATTCTTTTTCGGCGGAATTTCTCTATTGTGGTGTATTTTTCTAGTTGCCATGTATTTGTTGCATTCTGAATTTAGGTTTTGTGTGCTCTTTGAGTAAATATAGATTTTCCTGTCCTTAGCAATCTTTTCTAATCATATAATAGCAGAGTTTCTGTGTTATTTTGGATGCATCCATAGAGCTTGTCTGAAAATCTGCCAAGTTATTGTATGGCTGGGACTTTTTTATTTAACTTTTTTTACCCACTAGATTTGTGAAATTATTATTTTAAATATATGCTTAACAGTGTTGGGTTCATATGATTATGGCCATTATTAAGAGGTCTGGGGACAAGTGATGACTTTTTTTTTTTTTTTTTTTTTTTTGGTACTAGGGGTTGAACTCAAGGGCTCTGAGCCACATCCCCAGCCCTTTTAAATTTTTATTTCAAGACCTGTTCTCATTAAGTTGCTTAGGACCTCCTAAAGTAGCTGAGGCCGGCCTCAAACTTGAAATCCTCTTTCCTCAGCTTCCTGAGTCACTGGAATTACAGGCATCCACCACTGCACCCAGCTAAGTGATGACTCTTAAATAAAAATCATCTTARTGTACTATTTAGTTTTAAACTAAGGAATTAAAACAACAAAAATACCTTAATCTGCTTTTGAATTTTAAAGTAGCAACTATAAAACCCTGATCARTAGATCTTAACCATTGGGATTACAGTCCTTTTAAAAATCTAATTAAACTGTGGATCTTCTCCCTAGAGAAAACGTATACACTTAAACTTTTTCTAATTCATGTGTTCAGAGCTCAGGTAAAATATGATTATGAAGGAGCAAGGGAAAAGGCCAGGAATTGGGCAGAAAATAGGAGCAGATGGAGAGAGATAATAAACAGTTACAACACGTTCATCAAGTAGGATTTTAGAATGGCAGCTCTGAAAACAAAAGTAGCTTGTGAAACTTTTGTGAGCATAAATGAGTGATATCAATCACCCTTAGTCCCATAAAATAAATGAGATTCCTCAAGATATATTATTGAACCCATTGTTAATGACTGTATGTGAGTTAAGGACCTGTTTCTCCTAAAGCTTACAGGTGTATTTTTCATACTTTAAGTAACATTATCCTTTCACATAACTGCTTTTTAAAAACTTTGTGAATTTTTCTTTTAACAGTCGGCCAAATTGCGCAAGTTGCCTCCTTTTCTTACTGTCTCATTACTAAGATTTAATTTTGATTTTGTGAAGTGTGAACGCTACAAGGAAACTAGCAGTTACACGTTTCCTCTCCGGATCAATCTCAAGCCTTTTTGTGAGCAGGTTTGAATTATTTTATTTTAAAATTCTTTCTTTTCCCCTTCTATACTTGAATCTTTTATTGACCTGATGGAAGTTTATTGCAGAATTCCTGAACCTTAGCCCTGTTAACATTTTGAATTTAGTCATTCTTAGATGTGGAGGACTGTGCTGTACATTGTGGGATGTCCACCAGCATTCCTGGCCTCTTTGGACTGGGATGTGGCTCAGTGGTAGAGCAGTTGCTTAGCAGGCCCAAGGTCCTAGCTTTGATCCCCAGCACCACAAAAAAAAAAAAAAAAAAATCACCTGGCCTACTAAATAGATGACAGTAGCATCCCCACTCCTCTCCCACTTTGGCAATGAGAATGTCTTCAAATGTGGTCAAAAGTCGATATGTCCTGGAGATGGGGTTGCAAAATTGCCCTGGGCTGAGAACTTCTGATTTGTTTACAGTCCTTTTGAATCTAAAGTGTACAAGTTCTCTGTTCTCTATTAAACTCTTCTTGAAAAATCTTTGAGATGAAATTTTTAAAACAAAATTTAAAATGATCCTGCTTTTAGAAAAATTACCATTAATTGGTACTTTGCTATTTGGATTTAGTTTATTTTAGATGTGATAATGAATTACATGTCTATAAAGTGAACAGACAAATGGAATTTTTCTAGTCTAGAATTTGTAATCCTTAAGACACAGGAAAGAAAACGTGTTGAAAGCAAGCTAATTATAAAAACAAACTACTTTATGAGCCACTTATAGTTTTTATATCATTATTATACATGCTAAAATCAGAATGATGAGACTGGTATATTTCTTATTATAAATCATTCTTATTTTATTAGGAACAGAATATTTATTAGCTAGGTATTCAATATCTGTGAAAAAAAAAGTAATCCTTTTGGTAACATTCTTTAATTCAAACTCTTCATAGGTGGACCTAATTGCTCAGCTTTTTGTTTTTGTTTTTTTTTTTAATGTTTGAATTTTCAGAGATTCTAGTATTCTGTGGACGCTTAGCCTATTACTGGCATACTCAAAATCATTGATTTTCCCAGGGTTAGTTAATATATTCACTACTCTTTTTATAAAAAGTATTTCATCATGTGATTTAACGTACTTCAATATAACAGATCTGAAATAAGTAACTGACCACTTATCTAGGACATCCACATCAATTTTGCTTTTGAATTTCTATTAGTGTAGAAACACCTTGCATCTTTGTGTATCTCTCTCCTGTCTTTTGCCTAAATCAGACATTTTCAATTACTGTCCACTCAAAAACTATAATATTTTAATCAAATACATTCCTCTGGTAACTAGCATCCCTCAGCAGACACCCATGTATGCATTTACATCACAAGTTACACTGGTCTAGTTTAGATGGCACAATCAGAAGGGAGCTTATGTCAAGTGCTTCAGACCCCTGGAAAGTGAAAACTAAGGCTTTCTTGTTCTTCTGCATCAGAAATTTAAAGTGTCTCTTAATCTACTGTAGTTGTTTCCATTTGTTTTGTTTTTAATTGCCAGTGTAGAAGTTTATCTCTTGGGTTACATGTAAATATAAAGTGCATTAATTAATTAATTATAGAAAAGTTTGATCATAGAATTAATAAAGCAGGAAAGAACTTCTTCATTCTACATATTGCCTCTAAACAAGAACAAGTATTGTTCACAATTGCTAAATTCCTATTCTGTTCAGATGACTGAAATGTCTGGAGGGTTAATAGTTGATCTGACTCTGACTCTGTGGGCCAGCCTGGTTGGAACATGGGACAGTTTCATCAAGTATAGAACATGTGTGTTTCACATCATGATAGATATGTACAAAGATGGTTTTCTCTTGCTAAAAACCTCTAGCTTACATGATCTCAGCCCACACTAACAGCTTTTTCAGATACATGTGTTCACGTTTAAGTGAGAGGCAAAAATAGATGAATGTAGTGTGTTTAGCAGTTGAGCAATGAATTTAAAATGTTTTAATTTTTAATTTAAAGCCAGTCTTTTAAATTTATCTTACCTTTAAATGACAGTGGTATTCACTGTAATTTCTAATTAATTTCAATACTTGGAATTCTTTTTCCATTCTACTTACATATATTTTAGCATCTTATGTTAAACTATCCATGTTTATTTTCCTTTTTTCCTTTAGAGTGAATTAGATGATTTAGAATATATATATGACCTCTTCTCAGTCATTATACACAAAGGTGGCTGCTACGGAGGACATTATCATGTATATATTAAAGATGTTGATCATCTGGGAAACTGGCAATTTAAAGTAAGTGTACAAAATCATTTAGAAATATCTTTCGATGTCTTGGTTTTTCAGTTCCTTTTACAATATTTTGTTGATCTTTTGCCATTTATTGTATACTCACCCTGTAGAAAACTTTGATAGGCATTAAGTTAATTCAGATATGTTTTAAATTTTTATTTCTAAATAATTTTACATGTACAGAAAATACCACAGTAGTACAAATACTTCCTGTGCACTCTTTACCTAGATTCTCTAGTTGTTAACATATTGCCACATGTTTTAGTTAGCTATTTCATCACTGTGACTGAAAGACCTGACAAGAACAGTTAGAGGAGGAAAAGTTTATTTGGGGGCTCACAGTTTCAGAGGTCTCAGTCCATAGATGGCCAACTCCATTGTTCTGGGCCTGAGGCAAGGTAGAACATCATGGCAGAATGGCATGGAGGGAGAAAGCAGCTTAGAATATGGTACCAGGAAGCAGAGAGAGAGAGAGACTCTTCTCAACAGGCACAGAACATAAGCCCCAAAGCACACCTCTGGTGACCCAATTTCTCCAGCTCTACCCTATCTGCCCACAGTTACCATCCAGTTGATCCATATCAGTGTATTAATGCACAATGATTAAGTCAAGGCTCTCATAACCCAGTCATTTGTCTCTAACCTTTCTTTCATTGTCTCACAATGGGAAATACCTCATATCTAAACCAATAACCCCACATTTGTGCATGTGCACACACAGACATGTATACATTATTAACATCATCATCAGTGTTGAACCAAGTAAATGGAAGACATTAGACTCCTTTACCTCTAAATACTAGCTGTTTATCCACCAAAAACAAAGATATTCTCTTACATAGGCATAGTTAAAAACCAAGAACTTTTAATACTGGTATATTACTATTGCTATTGTCTAGTGTATAATTATATTCAGGTTCTACCAGTTGTCTAATCCATATCTTATGAAAATGTTTTTCCCACTCTACTGTCAAATCCAAGATCATGTGTTAGATTTAGYTATCTTTTTTTTTTTTTTAAGGTCTCTTTTACTCTAAAACCATCTCTCAGCTTTACAGTTCCTCTGTTATGACAAACTGTGGAATTTTTCCAGCAAATAAAATGAGCATTGATTTAGATAACACACAGTATGGATTTTGCATCCCGCAGATTGTAAGTGAAAATGTACAAGGCTTTCACAGTAGGATTTAAAGCCAGGGCAAATTTTATCCTATTTAATGTAATATGGCTGCAATGTCATGTCTTCTGTGGTTGCTCTTTAAAACAGCACTCATTGACCATCACTTAATGACATTTGAAACACTGGTCCTTCCTCAGGACCATAAAACAAAACAAAAAATGTAAGTCCTTCTAGATGGCTCTCTGTGAACGGTATAAGAATTTTTCCCCAAAACATTACCCATTACCACCTATTGAATAATCGCTTTTCTCCACCAACTTACTGTGTCAGTTCCATTAGATCTATTGTTCATTAATGCAGGAGTCTTATTTTTTAGATCTCTATTCTGTTCTATTCATCCTCCTCCTGGGCAAATACACACTTAATTGCCATAGGTTAATTTTAAATCATGCCATCTGGTGGGACAGGTCTCCCTACATGCTGCTCTTCAGGATTGTCTTACCTATCTTGTTTATGCTTCTGTGTGTCTTCCTAGAATCACCTTCCCATATTTTCACATATGCACATGCCCCTACATGCGTGCATACACAGGGGTTTTGAGTCTTCATATATGAACAAGATATATCTCTTTAAAGCTCCTTTGGTGTCTTTTTAAAAGTTTCATAATTTTCTCAGTGAATTATAGAGGGTCTGGGAAAGTGCTCACTAGAGTCTACTATGACATTAGAATACATTTCACATCAACCCTATGCTCTTCACCAGTTTCTAAAATGAAGCTAAGTCAATCACATTCTTCCATTTCTTTGACCTTACTGCAGTATCCAGTTCTGGATTCAGAAAGCTGTGCAGACATTGCTGTCAAATGCTATGCCACTTTTGCCAAGACACCACCATTTTGGGCACCTTCCTGATCAGATAAAATGAAGCACCTCTTATCCTTGGTGATTATTAGAGGAAATTTTTCCCTTCATTCAGTACTAAGGTCAAGGCAGTCCAGTTTATTGCCCTTTATTGTGGAATAATTTTTTTTCCATATCATGCTTCTAGTGAAGGTGTATGTAGCCCTTTAGATTTCCAACTTTTTGCTGCAGTCTATCATTGTGGTATGTGAAATCTATATACAGTCATCCCTCAGTGTCTTTGGGGAATTGGTTCCAGAACTCCCCATACCAAAAATCCATGGRTGCTTAAGTCCCTTGTTTTTCAGTTTTCTATTCCATTCTATTCTTTCTCCTGGAAAAAATGGCAATAATATTTGCATATTACCTAYACACACATGCCTATATATATGTATACTTAATCTCCAGGCTATTTATAATATATAATGTAAAATACCTAGCAAATAGTCACTACCCTGTATTGTTTTGGGACTAATAAAAAGAAAAAAGTCTCTACATGTTCAGTACAAACATTCTTTTTTTCTAATATTTTAATGTACAGTTGGTTGAGTTCACAGGTATAGATCCCATAGATACTGAGCATCTGCTGTATTTGTTGTCTCCAATTCCAGTTCCTGGTATATAGGTCTTTAGAATTTCTTGATGGAAGTTATTTTATTCATGATAAGCCCCTTTCCACCTTACGGTGTTCATGCTAAAAAGTCCACTCTTAGATGCCTTAAGATGGGGCCTGGTTGCCATATGAGATGCAGAATCCATACTGTGTTTTATCTGAATCAATGCTCATTTTACTTGCTGGAAAAATTCCATAGTTTATCATAACAGAGGAATTATAAAACTAAGAGATGGTTTTAGGCTAAAAGAGACCTAACACATGATCTTGGATTTGACACTAGAGTGGGGAAAACATTTTCATAAAAGACATAGATAGGACAATGGTAGAATTTGAATATAATCATACATTAGACAATAGTAGGATGCCAGTGTTCAAAGTTCTTGGTTTTGATCTATGCCTTAAGATGGGGCCAGATTGCCCACTGATGAGAGGGGTGGAATTTACATCCCATCTCCTGACCTTGGGGAGTGGAAAGAGACAAGAGGATTGAGTTCACCAATGGCCAGTGATTTAATCAGCACTGCCTCCACAGTGAGCTTCAGTGCTTGAGTAGGGCTGGGGTTTTGGCTCAGTGATAAAGTGCTCGCCTAGTACATGTGAGGCCCGGGGTTTAATCCTTAGTACCACATAAGAATAAGTAAAGATATTGTGTCCAACTACAACTAAAAAATAAATAAATAACCCTTGAGTAATGAGGTTTGGGGAGTTTCCATGGTGGTGACACATCTGTGTACCGGGAATGTGGCCCCCTGGACTCTGTGGGGACAGGCTTCTCTACTCGCCACCTTTCTGGACCTCACCCTACAACTGCTTCATCTAGATGCTCATTGGAATCCTTTATAATAAACTGTAACATAGGTTCCTGATATCTGTGAATTGCTCCACTAAATTATGAACCTGGAATAAGGGTTGTGTTTACCCTAGAATTTGCAACTGATCAGGTGGAAGTGTGAATAACCTGAAAACCCCATTTATGGTTAGGGTACCAAGTGGGAGTCAGTCTTATAGGATTAAGGCTCAACCTGTATAATCTGTTTGGGTACAGATAGTTAATGCCAGAATTGAACAGAATTGTGGGACATTTGGTGTCAGGATTTAGAAAATTGGTACTTTTTTGAAAAAAAACTCTGTGCTTTGGGTAAGCCTTAGGTTTCCTCTCCCAAACCCTGCACTATTTGAGCATCAGAGTGGAAGCTCAGTATCAACAAGGTTGGTGTCTTAGTCCATTCAGGCTGCTACAACAGTACTTTTTATAAACAATAAAAATGTATTACTCACTGCTCTGGAACCTTCCTTAGAAAGTCCAACATAAAGGTGCCAGCAAATATTTTATATCTGCAGGATTTACCTACCACTTTATAGATGGTACCTTCCTTTTTTGTTTTGTTTTGTTGGTATTGAGGATTAAACCCAGGAGTGCTTAACCACTCAATCATATCCCCTACCCTTTTTATTTTTTTAATTTAATTTTGAGACAGGGTCTCACTAAATTGCTTAGAGCCTCTCTAAGTTGCTGAGGCTGGCTTTGAATTTAAAGTCCTCCTAGCTCAGCCTCTAAGTTGCTGGGATTCCAGGAATGAGCCACCACAACTGTGCCCAGCTATAGATGGTGCCTTCTTGCTATGTCCTCAAACAGCAGAAGTGGCATACAGGCTCCCTTGAATCTCTTTTATAAAAGCGCTAATCCCATCATGAGGGCCCACCCTTATGACTTAATTGTTTCCTGAAGATGCCATCTCTTGATACTATTGCATTAGGGTTAGGTTTCAACATATACGTTTAGGAAACAAAAACATTCAGAGTGCAGCAGTTGGGATGCTAGAAGCCTTCATTCTGTATTTCCTACCTGGATTTCCATTTCACTTCTCAACCTCAGAGGGTATTCCTAATGTGTAAGTTTAAAAATATGTTTTGTTATGTTTTGCTTTTACTTTAGCATTTTTAGTAATTTTGCAGCTAGATGGTTAGATCTGGTACCACATTCTTCTGTTATTTCTTGATTTTTTTTCCTTGTGTTAATTTTTAAAGTCTCCTTGTATTTATAGTTTTAAGCCAATTTAAAATACTTTTGCAAGCTCTTACATATGAGAAAAGAGTCAATAAAAATTGCTCACCAGGGGAATTTTGACACATTCCCCAATGCCATTATCAAATGGGATATAAACTTTTTGAATATCAATCAGGAAATGAAAAGAAGTGTTTAAATTGAGCCCACAAAAATGGATTGGAGTTTTTAGGTCAATATGAGTGAGTGAGAACATGGCAGATGAAACCAGAAAATATTTGGAACTGAGTGATGATGATGATGATAGTTCAACATACCAAATTACCACATGACTCAGCCAAAGCAGTGTTTGGCTAGAAGACATTGGTGCCAGTGTATACCAGATTCTAATCTTTACCCAGTTTGTAAGATAAAGCCAGAGCTATCAAGTAATTTGCTCAGAATTGTTCAACAAAACCTGTATTTCGAAACCAGGTTGGCCTGACCCAATGCATATTGCAGATTATTGTTTTCTACCATCATTTCTCCAGTGGCATAGACACTCCTATTTTATTAATTCCTCTAAGAGATTTGTGATAGAAAATCTTATTGCTTTCCTTCCTAGCAGGAAGAAAGTAAGCCAGATGTGAATTTGAAAACTCTTCAAAATGAAGAGGAGRTTGATGATCCATTGGTGATACTACAAGCAGTAATATTACAGGTAGGTTGTGTCTGTTTGTGTATTTGTGCTTATATAGCTATCATAAGTGGGTGGGCTTATTTATATGACATCAGTCACATTATTTAGGGACAACTCTAAAAAGGAAAATGGACTCAATTTAACTTAACCACCCCATTAAATGCCTTTAATCACCCCTTTAAATGCCCTAACTTCAAATACAATCACATCATTAAGTATTGCAGGCTAAGGATTTAACCTATGAATTTGGGGGAGACACAGTTCAACCTATAATGGTCACATCTTGTCCCCTTCCAGAACTTGTATACTTTGAAATATTCAGATAAGATGTTAATAATATTTTTTACTTAAATATTTCTTCTAAAAATCATATATAATATCAGGAATTTATCAAACATCAGGATACCCTTTGGATATAGTTAAAATGCAGCATATAGTAGGAATACCATCTATAATAGTGGTGAGTCCTGCAGATACAAAATTTGCTGGAACCTTCAAATACAGATAGACTTTTAAAAAATAAGATTTTCTGAACCTAGGTTTAAGCTACTTTTCCAAAAAAAAATTATAATGAATAATTACGATTTATTTTATTTCATTTCATTTCTTTTCTTTGCAGTACAGGAGCTCAAATCCAGGGATATTTTACCACTGAGCTATATCTCCAGGCCTTTTATTTTTTGTTGTTGAGACAGTGTCACTARGTTGCCCAGGCTGGCCTCCAACTTAATATTCTCATGCCTCAGCCTCCTCAGTAGCCAGTATTATAGGTATATGCTATCATATTATGGCAATAATAATGATTAATCCACTTACGTGTTTTTGTTCTAGGCACGTGTAATTACATAAAATCCTGTTGATCTCTCAGAATTTGTGTTACAATTATTTCTCATCAGACTTGTTTAAATGACTTTGTGTTTATTTCATAAGGAGGAGAATAATCTAATATCTGTTGATCAACTGGGCCAGAAACTGTTGAAAAAAATGGGAATATCTTGGAACAAGAAGTACAGAAAACATCATGGGCCACTGAGAAAGGTAATACATGGCGTCAACATAGGAAATCCTAGTCCCAGGATATTTTGTTATGTTCCTAACAATTTTAATTTCTAAGATATTTTAAGTAGATAAAAATAAAATCAGCATTTTTGTTCAAAAATAGCTATAATTCAGCTATTATTTATAAAGTATCAGTTATTAAGTTATTTATCAACAAGCAAAAAAAAAAAAAAAAAAAACAACAAGGAAGTCGCCCTTATCACAGTAGCAAAAAAAAATTATCCCAAAGCTCTAACTTCTAGAAACTTGCTTATCTCATTTCCTAGGCTAAAGACTCATTGCAGAAACTGATATTACCAGAAACAAAAGATAAAAACTTGACTGAAAATAACCAAACAAAGCAACAGAACATTTAATGAACATTTAGAAACTGTTTTGTGTAAAAGCAAAGCACTTAACTGACTGCAATAATTGTTTAAGAGCATCTTTTAATTAGACCACCAAAAATCGATTTTCTGTTACCTGTATTATTTTGGAAAATTGTGTTGTTTAGAGAATTTGCCTTTTTATGTATGGTGTCAAATTCATTGACATAAAGTTATTCAAAATTGGCATCCCAGGATTATGCTTTTGCCATCTGTAGAACCTGAAGTTATTTCAAAACCCTTTTTCATTTCTCATATTAATTAGTGTTTTCTTTTCTTGCTAGGGTTTGTCAAGTTTATTTATTTTTTTTTAAATATTTATTTATTTATTTTTTTAAGTTATTGGCGGACACAACATCTTTGTTGGTATGTGGTGCTGAGGATCGAACCCGGGCCGCACGCGTGCCAGGCGAGCATGCTACCGCTTGAGCCACATCCCCAGCCCCTGTCAAGTTTATTTTTAAAAAATCAACAACCAGGGCTGGGGTTGTAGCTCAGTGGTGAAACACTTGCCTAGTGTGTGGGGGGGCACTGGCTTCAATCCTCAGCACCACATAAAAATAAATAAATAAAATAAAGATATAATGTCTGTCTACAACTAAGAAGAATATTTTTTAAAAAATCAGCAGCCTTTGATACAATAGGATATAATTGTATTGATTTTCTCTACTGCTTATCTGTTTCTATTTCATTGATTTTAGTCCTTAATGAAGTTTTTTTTTTTTTTTTTTTAACTTCCGTTTCATTTCATTTCTTTGTAGTACAGGAGATCAAACCCAGGGGTACTTAACCACTGAGCCACATCCCCAGCCCTTTTTAAAATTTTCTTTATTTTGAGACAGGGTCTCACTGAGTTAATTAGAGTCTCACTAAATTGCTAAGGCTAGTCTCAAACTTGTGATCCTACTTCTTTATCTCAACAGATCTGTCTGGATCAGTAGTTTCAGATAGTGGTGCACTGTGCAATTGCCATTGTTTTGTGCTTTGTTTAGGTAGCTTTTAAATATTTCAAAAGTTTTTGTTCTACCTAATCCATTTCATTTAAGTACTTTTTTAAAAACAGCATTAATTAGAATGCTTTTTAGATTGTAGCATGGCAGCTTTCTCCCTTGATATAACTATTAAACAGTTTCACAGAATTCTCTTCATTTTTGCTAAATGGCTTCTTATACCAAAATGGATGTTTTCCCCTTCGTGGACTGGGCCAAAAATAAAGATGAAGTTAAAAAAAAAAATTTAAACCACAGAAAGGAAGAAAACATTTTTTAAGGTCTAATWTAAAATTTTTTTAATTAATCCAGCTTTTTTTTTTTTTTTTGTCTGATTCTGCATAGTTCTTACAGCTGCATTCTCAGATGTTCCTTCTAAGTTCAGATGGAAGCACAGTTAGTCTACTGAAGAAAGATCCTGTCCAGTCTGACTTCCAAAGTACTGATCAACAGAGTTTCCACTCGCTGGCTTTAGAAGCCCCAGGATTAAGTGATAGCACTGCCTGTTCCCACTGGTTTGATATAAATGACTCTAAAGTTCAACCAATCCAGGAGAAAGATATCGAACAGCAATTTCAGGGCAAAGAAAGCGCCTACATGTTGTTTTATCGGAAATCCCAGTTGCAGAGACCCCCTGAAGGTATGGAAAGAAAAGTTTTCCTGTTTAATAATTTTAGAAGGTAAACATGGAATACTGTTGAGTTTTTGCTCTTTTAATAGAAGGCTTACTCTGGAAACAAAAAGTAATATATTATGCMAAATAAAATCTAAAAATGTATCTTTTTTATAAAGATTATATATTTCTATTTAAATTTATCCTCATAATAATATGAGGTCACAGTTATAAGATGTTTGAAATTGGATTTCCTTGGGTCACATGATCTTTTCCCATGTTGGCAGTCTGAGTGTGATCACACTAGGTTCAGACGCAACTGCCACTCGGCAGCCTTTGTGTTAGCCTTGGTCTTATTTTCTCATCTCCCCTTAATTTTCCCATTTATTTTTGCTTTTGCCTCAAAGTAGGAAATCTTTTTTAGATTGAAACATAGCTATGATTAGAGATGAAGAGAATGTTCTCAATGAGAATAGTGATCATTTTTTATAAAAAATAAGAGTAAAGCAGTTACAAATTTGCATTAGAATCAAAGGAAATTATCTTTCTAGATCTGAAACAATTATATGACTGCTGTTAACCAAAACTGCTTTGTATTTTTCTGAGAGAAAAAAGGCATGGTAATGGTTCTGATAGAAATACTGTGGATCAGAATTCATGATTATAGAAACAGAAAGGGAATGTCTTTGGATGGACATTATTAGTCTCTTACCAGATTGACAGTGAGTGTGAGCATACTTGGACTTTGTACCAAACAACAGCTTCTGGGTAGCTGAGAAATTGAATAAAGGTCCGATCAAAGTCTTGATGGACTTTGGGGAATAAAGAGACAGAACTTCACAAAACAATTCTAAAATTTACTTAGAGAAATAAAAATTGAAGAAGGGACTACTGGGGCTGTTTGTAGTATAAGTAAAAACATGTCTATAAAACTGTTTAGCAATGAAGACAGAGCAATGCTAATGCTAAAATCACTGAAACCTCAGTGAGCCCAGGAATCAATCTCGGCATGTCAGAGGCTTTAATCCAAGGGAAGAAACTCCTTGGATAAATGGGAAAGTGAATTACTTAATAAATACTACTGGGAAGTTGTTTTTTTGCTAGGGAATTAACTAAGACATTTTCCTCTATTCTACCAATCACTCAAATGAGATGATAGCTCCTTTATATAAAATGGAATCTTAAAATATGAAAACTTGGGCTGAGGATATGGCTCAAGGGTAGCGCGATTGTGGGGCATTCGCAGGGCGCTGGGTTTGATCCTCAGCACCACAAAAAAAATAAAATAAAATAAAGATGTTGTGTCCACCGAAAACTAAAAAATAAATATTAAAAAAACTCTCTCTCTCTCTCTCTTTAAAAAAAATATGTAAATTTATTTGATTTTAAGATAGAAAGGACCTTTCTAAACTAAAAGACTAAGAAAAAGTGACAGAAACTTCAAATGACAAGATAATAGAAAACAGGAAAATACATGACAGATTTATTTTCCCTATCTGTAAAGTGCTCTTCCGTGTATTCTATGATGCTCCATAGTAAATTGAGAAAAGTTTATTAAAAATCAATGTACAAAAGAAGAAATTCTTATTCTTTTTTTTTTTTTTTGAGAGAGAGAGAGAGGGGGACAGAGAGAGAGAGAGAGAATTTTAACATTTATTTATTTTTTCTTAGTTCTCGGCGGACACAACATCTTCGTTTTGTATGTGGTGCTGAGGATCGAACCCGGGTCGCATGCACGCTAGGGGAGCGCGCTACCGCTTGAGCCACATCCCCAGCCCAGAAAATTCTTATTCTTCAAAAATATTTCCAACCCAGCCCATAATCAGAAAAACTTAAAATAGGAAGGAGATGCTTCTAGTTTCCTACCATGTCACACATTTTTGTGAATCTGGTTCCCAGCAGCCGACACTTCCTCTGCAGCTGCTATGTATGTAAACGGATACAAACAATCAAATGTGTATATTTTTAAAAGCCTTAGGGCTGGGGTATAGCTCAGTGACAGAGCGCTTGCCTTGATTGTGTGCGGCACTGAGTTCTATCCTCAGCACCACATAAAAAAAAAAAATAAAGGCATGCTGTCCATCTACAACTGTATTAAAAAAAAAATTAAGAGCCTTAAAACTACCTCATCCTTTAAACCAGTAACTCTCACAAGTTTGACATGAAGTCATCAGAGCTGTGTATGAATATTATGTTCAAAGATGTTTGCTGCCTTATTGTTTTACAGCAGGGACTAGTTGAAAAACTACCGAAATGTCTAATAGATTAATTATGCTACTTACATAGAATAGGCTACTATGCAATTATTTATTTAAGGCTGTGGAAAAATACAATTTATGAAATCAGAAAGCAAGTTACAAATACATCAGCTATAATCCCAGTTATTTTTTTAAAAATACATGTGTTGTGCATGTTTGTGTGGTGTGCATACATGTGTGTTTTAGGAATGAGATTACATATAATACTTTAAAAAATAATTTCCAGAATTTTTACAATAACCAATTATTACATGTGTAATTGGGTTGAAAATAGTGGTTTTTTTTTTTTTTTTTTAAGTTAAAGAGGGGTGAAGGAGTAGAATCCTTCTAGTTTGGCTCAAAAGCCAGCTGCCTTTCATTTGTTCTCCTTCCCTTCTTAGGTTGGAAAGCCAAGGTCTGGGAAAGTCAGCATCTACACAGCTGAGGGCAGCACTTTCTCTGCCCCCGCAGCTCCCTAAGTTCTCACATTGCCTTTCCAACACCCAGATTTTACTTATTCAGCACAATTAATGATAGGTTTTGTTCACAGCTCTAGCTAACCCAAGATACAGGGTCCCCTGTCACCTGCTGAAAGAAATGGATGCAGCCAACATTGAACTGAAAGTGAAAAGGTAATTTAAGTTGCTTTTAGAGTTTGAGTAATTTTTCTGGAGAATGCAGATCTAATTTAGGCCTTATTCATTCAGTAATGAAAATTTAAAAGAGTACTTAACTAGTTAAAAAACACCTGTTTGGCTGTTGAATTTTTATAGTGGAGGTATCATTTGTTTTGGACTGACCCTTATCTGTAAAACTGAACATAAAATGGCTATTGCCAAGTAGGGACCAAAGCCTAAGAAGACTTGGGAAATAGGCCAGCACACAGTTGGGCAAAGTGAATTACACCTTGTCCTGGCCAGGTTATCCCTTGGGTATAAAGAAAGCTTGTCCTTAAAACATTTTTAAGTAGCTGTGGAGAACTGAACATAAAGTGACAGGAGATCAGAGATGGGAATATTTTCCAAAGGAAGGAAATGTTAGGTTTAGTATCAGTCTTGGACAAAAACCCATAATGGATTCTTGAAGCTATGGCTTATAAGAATTTGACATGTCAGCATTCTCTTAGGGCTTGAATCCTGAAGAACTGGGTCTTATTTGCTCACTGACAGGGCCGTAGGTATCAGGTAAGGAAATGGAAGTTTACACATTTCCTTGTGAATTCATGGGGCCAATTATGTAGTGGGAAGGTGTTCATCATTTTAATCATGGACTTGGATCTGGGAGAAAAAAAATAGCAGGAACATTGAATGATACACCAAAACCAAAGAAACTCTCAAAAGAAATGAAGAGGGCTGGGGTTGGGCTCAGCACTTACCTGGCATGTGTGAGGCACCGGGTTCACTCCCCGGAACCATATAAAAAAATAAACAAAACAAAGGTATTGTATCCATCTACAACTTTAAAAATATTAAAAATAAATAAATAAAATCTATCCAAACCTTAAAAAAAAAATGAAGACACTAAATARTATAAATGGAGTGCGAGTTGGGGATTTTTGTTTGGTTTGGTTTGGTTTGGTTGGTTGTTTTTGTGGTGCTGAGGATTGAGCCCAGGGGTACTTAACCACTGAGCTATGTCCCCAGCTTTAATTAGTTACCCAGGCTAGCCTTAAATTTGTAATCCTCCTGCCTCAGCCTCCTACATAGCTCAAGATGTTTGTGCCAGCAACTGCACGTATCTTATGCAAGAGCCCAAGGAGTCTAGTAAAGTTGGGATGAAGCAGAAGTCAGTTACATGAGCAAGTGTCTAGCATTTGTCTACAACTATAACATAATCTCAGGATTGGAAGGTTTCAGGTGTCAGCATTTGTTCAAAGAAATGTGATTAACAGTGCAGGGAAATAATTTTCCCTTGGAATTCCTGGGAATGTTGCTGATGATTGAAAATCCAATGTGTCATTAAAAAAAAGAAAGAAAATCTAAGATGTATCATTTTGGCAGGTAGAAGAAAAGGATGGTACTTAAGTAGAATGGAGAATTTACTTGTATTGTAAAGCAAATATTTTGGTTTGAGATAAAACACAGTGTCATTATAAAAGCATAGTGTTGATGTATTTTGTGTGCTTCTTTGAAGGGCAGAATGTGATTCTGCAAACAATGATTTTGAATTGCATCTTCACCTGGGCCCTCATTATCGGTTCTTCAATGGGGCTCTGCACCCAGTAACCTCTCAGGCAGAAAGTGTGTGGGATTTGACCTTTGACAAAAGAAAAACTTTAGGAGATCTCCGACAGTCAATATTTCAGGTAAATTAGCTTAATGGAGGTTTTTAAATCCATCTTGAGCTGGCTTCTACATTTCATCTTATTTAGGTTAACAGCTGTTTTTCAAAGCTGCTTAGGAAAATCCTACATCTTCAGTTCATAGAAAGGTGAACCAGCAGTTCTCCCCTATTCCTGTGCACTTCCCATCAGCAGCTTTTCAAATAGAGCATTGGACTGGCACCTTTTATTTGGGGGCCCAAAAAGTATATAGTTTCTTTTTGGGAGAAATAAATGAAAGAGGGAATGAGATGGTGAGCATATTGATTAAGACCAAGAACCACTAAACAAATAAGAGCAACTAATTTTGTTCCTTTGGGTATATAATAGCATTTATTAATAAGATTTTTTTTCTTTTGTGTGGTTCTGGGAATGGAATCCAGAGCTTTGTGCATGCTAGGCAGACACTCTTAACAGTAAACTGCACCCTCTAGCCCTAAGACTAGTATCTACTAATGAAGAAAAATATCTATTAGTCTCTAGTTAAAAATATCATCATAATCATTGTCTTAATTGTTTATCCATCTATGTTTTAATGATGGTGATAATGATAACAGCAACAGTAGTGCTCAATATTTTACTTACAATGCTTTCACATGAATTTTACAATTTGGTTCTTTAACCTTCTGAGGGCAAGCTAATTTCATTTTGAGGATGAAAGAAGTTGTAATTTACAGAAACCTATATTGCCATTGCTCAGCCTTKCAGGACGGTGGTGCGGTTCTGGTCTTCCCCTCTTCATCTCGTTCTTTTCCATGGTCATGATTCTTCACCCCACACTATTTCTTGACCAAGAAAAAAGGAAATAGAAAATGCAAGCTTTTTGGGTTTTGTCCCCAAAATAAATGAATTTGCAAAACAATGGTATCCCTCACAAATTATCAGCTTTCTTTTGATTTTTTTTTTCTACTAAGAAAAGCAAACCAATTTTCTTTTTTAAATAGTTGATTTTTGTGTATGTATGTGTGTGGTGCTGAGGATTGGATCCAGGGGTACTTTACCTCAGCATTTTTTTTTTTTTTTTTTTTTTTTGAGATAGAGCTCACTTAAGTTGCGGGGCCTGACTATGGATTTGAACTTTCAATCCTGCCTCGGCCTCCTGAGCTGCTGGGATTGTAGGCATGTGCCCAGTCCTTTTTTGTTCTAATTAGTTATGTATRACAGTGGAATACACTTTAATACTTCATACATAAATGGAGTATGACTTCTCATTCTACATGCTGTAGAATCAAACCAGTCGTGTAGTGATACATACAATAAGATAATAATGTCCGATTCATTCTACTATCCTTCCTCCCCTTCATTCCCCTCTGCCTAATCCAAAGTAACCCTGTTCTTCCCTAGCCCCCACCTTATTGTGAATTAGATCTGTATATCAGAGAAAACATTTGGCCTTTGGTTTTGGGGGATTGGCTTATTTCGCTTGGCATGATATTCTCCAACTCCATTCATTTACTGGCAAATGCCATAATTTCATTCTTCTTTAAGGCTGAGTAATATTCCATTGTGTATATATATCACCTTTTCTTTATTTATTTATCTGTTGAAGGGCACCTAAGTTGGTTCCATAGTTTAGCTATTGTGAGTTGAGCTGTTATAAACATTGATGTGGCTGCATCACTACAATATGCTGATTTTTTTCCTTTGGGTATAAACTGAGGAGTTGGGTAGCTGAGGAATCTTCATACCACTTTCCATAGTGGTTGCACCAATTTACAGTTCCACCAGCAGTTGTATGAGTGTGCCTTTTTCCCCATATCTTGCCAACTTTTATTGTTGTTTATATTCTTGATAATTGCAATTCTGTCTGGAGTGAGATGAAATCTTAGAGTAGTTTTGATTTGCATTTTTCTAATTGCTAGAGTTTTGAACATTTTTTAATATATTTGTTGATTGAAATATTTTTTCTTCTCTGAAGTATCTGTTCTGTTCCTTAGCCCATTTATTGATTGATTTTTTGGTTTGTGTGTGTGTGTGTGTGTGTGTGTGTGTGTGTGTGTATGAAGTTTTTTGAGTTTTTTATATATCCTGGAGATTAATGCTATGTCTGAGGTTCATTGGTAAAGATTTTCTCCCACTCTGTAGGCTCTCTCTTCACATTACTAATTGTTTCCTTTGCCGAGAAGCAGCTTTTTAGTTTGAATCCATCCCATTTATCAATTCGATTTTACTTCTTGCACTTTAGGAGTCTTTTTAAGGAAGCCAGATCCCAAGCCAGCATAGTTTTATTTTTATTTTGAGACAGGGTCTTACTAAGTTGCTGAGGCTGGCCCTGAACTTAGGATTTCCTGTYTCAGCCTCCCAATATCTGAGATCCCAGTTGTATACCACCAAGCTGGGCCTTCCTTTTTGTGCATCTAGAGAATAAGAATTAG